AAACTTTCCAAAATCATCTTTTCTTCAATCAACGAAGATCAAAAATCATAAGATCATTTTAAAAGAACAAGAGACAAACCCACTTTCAAAATCGCTCAACTTCTTGAATCAACAATCAATTTTCAAAGCTATCGAAAGATGATTTCAAAAATCATATAGATCTTGCAAAAATATATATATAACTCTAAGAAAATCCCTACCTCAAGTTTTGAAGAAAAAATGAGATGAAACCCCCAAAATCAACGGTGTTGAAACTCGATCTTCACCGCACACAACGAAACCCTCGAGAAGTTAACCAACTTTGATGAAGAACCTATGGCAGAACTCTAATGGATCTTGAGAAATCAAGGTTTTGATCCAATTTGGCATAGAAAAATGTAGAAAGAAGGGAGAGGAAAGCGGAGGGCTTGTTTGGCTACTACAATAAATGCATTCGAAGTTGCTTGAGTCGCACGTGCGGAAAACAGGGGAGGGCTTGTTTGGCTACTGCAATAAATGCAGGTGCGGGAGTGCAAGTGCGGAAGAAGCGCCACACGTGCGGTGGTAAATGAGTCCAAAATTTTGGTCTTTTCTTCTCTTTAGGCTGAGTGTATCTCACTCTTGTTATGTCTCTCTCTCTCTCTAAAAACCCTTTCCTCTCCCTTCTCTCCACATTTTCTTACGCCAAATTGGATCAAAACCTTGATTTCTCAAGATCCATTAGAGTTCTGCCATAGGTTCTTCATCAAAGTTAGTTAACTTTTCGAGGGCTTCGTTGTGAGCGGTGAAGATCGAGTTTCAACACCGTTGATTTTGGGGTTTCATCTCATTTCTTCTTCAAAACTTGAGGTAGGGATTTTCTTAGAGTTATATATATATATATATATATATATATATTTTTGCAAGATCTAGATGATTTTCGAAATCATCTTTCGATAGCTTTGAAAATTGATTGTTGATTCAAGAAGTTGAGCGATTTTGAAAGTAGGTTTGTCTCTTGTTCTTTTAAAATGATCTTATGGGTTTTGATCTTCGTTAATTGAAAAAAAGATGATTTTGGAAAGTTTTCTTTCAAAAGATTTGAGTTGTATAGTTTTGGTGAGAAAACCTACAATTCGGGGATTTTTTTTAAAATAGACTGAAAATTCATGAATGATATTGTTATATTTATTTTGTGTGTCAAAATAAATGGATGTTTAGAAAATTTCTTATTTATAAATGATGAATTTCAGGGAATATGAGAATTGTTGTTCATTTTGGAAATTATTGTTCAAAACGTTGAAATAGTCTTAAAATGACTAATTGTTGAGGATACTTGAGAAGAGGGAATTGTGTTATTCTTTGGATGTTGAATTGAAATAAAAGTATTTATATTCATATTGTGTTATTGGCATATCAATTCATTTGATTACATTAAACTTTGAAAATTGATTTGAAAACTTACATTAAGAAAAGAATGTTGAGAAACAAGTTTTCATGGAATGGTTTTGGGATAAATACGTTGGTAAGTCTTGATAGGTGGTGTAGATGATATTGAATAAGTTGGCCTGAGAGTCTGGGGTGAAAGACCGAAAATCCGCGCAAATAGGTGTCGAACCTTCCGGTTAATACCGGTAAAAATGACAAATTGGTAGTACTTGTATAGCCTACTTGCAGACACCGACCTAGGAATTACCAAAGTCGTATTTACCGCTTTTGAAATGAATTGATCAGTTTTGAAGAATTGAAATTGCATGACATCATTGAGCATGATGATTTTCAAAGATGAAGATGTGATTTTCTTTCAAAAGGGCATAGCATGACGTGCATTTCATCTCTTGAGACTTGTATAAAATGTATATATTTTGTTAATAACTTCCTACTAGGCTTTATACTTACCCTACGGGATTTTTGTGCAGGAAAAGATGTGGTGATACCGCCTAACTAAAGGCGAGGAAATGTGTGTTGAGAGTACGAGACTCTCATTTTACTGTGACTCTGTGTGTAAGCCAAGGGCTGTATGTGTGTGGATTTGAATAACCGAATTGTGTAACCAGGCTCAAGCCTTGGAAACTTGTAAATCCTTAGGGGTATTTATTTATTTGTTTACTTGTTGTTGGATTAATATATTGTTGCATGAAGAACTATTGTATCATGTAATGTAAGTTTGGAGATTTATATTCGATTTTCCTTATTGTTTGAAATTGTCGTGTTAAAAATTATAGCTGAATTCCCGTCTCCTGTACTTTTTACTATGTCAAGCATGGTTTCCTGAAGTCTTAGAAACCTAATTTTACCTGTTTTTTTGTTTAAGTTAGAACTTGTTCAGATTACACGTAGCTTGGGCTAGCCCTTTTCTCTGCTTGTAACCCTTCAAGATCCACTTTCAAAAGCCCCCGTTTTGTATTTTCCCCATTAGGATTGTACTACTATGTCGTTTTTAGTTTCAACTCGTCCTTCTACTGTGGAACAAGGGCTGGCTTCCTTTCTGAGAATCCAAGGCTCGTGAAGCTGGAGGTTAATGCACTGCTAGTAGGCTGCAAACGAACCGAGCTATTCATGAACAGCTCGAAGCTCGGCTCGTTAACAGCTCGTTTAAGCTCGTTCGATTACCAAACAAGCCGAGCTCGAGCTTTGTTACCAAGCTCGATTATTAAACGAGTCGAGCTCGAGCTAATATGAGCTCGGCTCAATTAGGCTCGGCTCGATTACATTACATTATATTATATTATATTATTATATTATATTATATTATATATTAGTCACAAAAAAAAATTGAAAATATTAATTATAACCAGTTTCCAAGTCATCAATAAATAATAAAATCTCCAAGTCATTAAAAAATAATAAACAATTAACAAAGCATTGTCCAGCAAAAAAGAAGTAAGAGAATGGAAAACAATTTATAATGGGTAAGATTTCTTCAAGTTGCCTTATCATTCGATGTGGGACAGCCACTGAACAAACTTCAAGTTGCCTTATCAAGTATCCCACATCGCTTCTTTGACAAAATCAAAAGGAACAAGGGCTCTATATAAGTGGGGAAAGCCAACAGCCAACCATTGCTTCAGCCTCACGAGCCACATGAGCCGAGCTCGAGTTTTGCTTCAGTCTCACGAGTCGAGCTCGAGCTAAGTAATGTTGAGCTCGATTCGAGCTCGAGCCGAGCTCGAGCACTTAAAAATTTATTCGAGCCGAGCTTGAGCACGATGATGCTCGACTCGGCTCGGCTCGTTTGTAGCCCTAACTGCTAGGCAAGAGTGGTGAAACTCTCTAAGGATCTTCTTTCGATACGGTTCCAGCACAAACAATTGGTCCAAGTATCCAAGCATGGGTCAACTACCAATTATTATTATAACTTAAAAAAAATGCATACACGGACTGAATATTTTGAGTAAATAAAAATAGAAACTTCCATCGAAGCAGTAAATAAACCGTTATAGTTCCATCGTTCGATTTTACACTCCATTTGGATCATAGGATGAGAAAAATAAATAAATAAATGACTGTGTTTTTTCATTATCATATTTGAATGAGTAAGAAAGGAAAACATGTAAAAGAGGGTTATGAACGAGATTTAATTTTTCATCATTTGTATTTTAAGTAGGAGTGATCATGGATTCGTCCAACCCGCTCAACCCAACTGATTCGATCCAACCCGATTGATTTTGGGCAGACGCATGTCTTTTGGCAGATGAATACGGATGAAATATTTCAAAATCCACTAATACGATTTAGATGGCGGGTCAACCACCTCACACCCGCATGAACTCGATCCGCCGGTTGATGAAGTTCAAAACAAAAATAATAAAAATAAAGAATTGCTAATGAATAACAACATATAGTAGAAATAATAAAATATATATTTTTGTAAAAATGGAAAATAATACCTTAAAAATATGCATGTGTAGTGCCATGGCTATTATAGATAAATAACACTTTTTTTTTTTCAAATTACTAGTTATTGAAGATTGTAAAAATAATTAATTATAATTTAGAAAAATATTAAAAAATTGTATAGTTCAAACTGCCAAGCCGATCACATCCATCCGCTAATTTGCATGGCCCGTTCAATCCGCATCTGCCAAATCAACGAATGGATGTGGATTGATTTTTTTCAATCCGTCTAGTTTCGAACAGACTGATAGAATGCCACCCGATCCAACCCGATCCAATCTGTGATCACTCCTAATTTTAAGGGACAATATGATGTTATAAATATGGATAAATTACAAATAACCCTTTAAAATTTACTTAAAATATAAATTATCCCTGTAGTTTTAAAAATTAAATATATCCTTTTTCATAATTTTTTATTCAACAGAATTAAAAAAAAAATAAAATTGAACTACTCTCTTATACAATAGTAAAGTTATCAAAATCGTTAATTGAAATATATTTTTGACATAATTAAAAGCTGTTAATTGACTTAATGATTTATTAATAAAAAGAGTTATTTGTTATGCGATAAGAAATTTAAATGAATGAAATGTAATTTTTAAAATTACAAGGGAGAATACGTATTTTAAGCAAATCATAAGGAGTGTATTTGTAATTTATCTACAAATTATTTCGACAACCAAAATTGCTATTAACTTTTTTTCATTATTTTTTTAATTAAAATTACATGAATTATTAATTGAAATATATTTCTGACATCAATAAAAATTGTTAATTAACTTGATAATTTATTAATAAAAAGAGGTCATTTGTTATGTGATAAGAAACTTGAAAGGGTAAGATATAATCTTCAAAACTATAAGAAGCAATTTGTATTTTAAGAACACCTTAAAGATGTATTGTAATTTGTTCTATAAATATTTAGAGAAATAAAAACTTAATGATAACTTTAAAAAAATTACAAAATAATAATAAAAAAAGTTTAAATTTTTAATTATCAAAAATTATTATTGATTTATAATTTTTTTTACACTGATTTATAATTTTTTTTTCTAAACCTACACTTAAGGGTGTGTGTGATACAGTTCGGGCGATTTGATAGTAAAATTATAAACCAAATCATACATGGCGGATTGACAAATAATCAAACATCGAAAAAATATTAAATACAGAGATAAACATTTTTCTTTCAATCCGAGATGGGAGTGGCCTTATGCAGCATATGGAGGATTTTTATTACATTTCACTGCTTCAGGTACTAGCTGTACATAATTTTTGTATGCCACGTAAGTAGACAAATGCGTCATCTAATTGTGTACCTTTGGAATGTCTTTTTCCTTTTTCAGTATGTGAGATCAAATTATCAAATTGTCGCAAGGTCACCAACCAATGAAGAAGGTAGCCTATGACTATGACAGCACAGCCAAGGTTAAATTTTATTTTTCTTCTATAAATACTGAAATATTCTTTTTTTGTAAACTTGTGATATGACCACAATAGACAATAGTTCCTAAAAGAGTTCCATTTCCTCAAATTTAATGTCCCACCACCTGAGGTTCTCACTACCTATGCTTCAATACAGCTTTCATAGGCTAAAAAATGTTTCAGTTCCATTAATTTTTCGAATTGCAAAATTATGTACAGTTGGTGATTGTAATAATTTCATGAACTTACACGATTGTCATGATCTGTTCTATACTTTTTTTGTTCTTGTTTCTGTTATTGTTGTCTTGTGGCTGCTCTGTATTGGGGCCAACTTATAATATAATAGCCGCTTCAGCTTCATCCTCAGCTTCCGCTTCAAAAGCAAGCTTGCGAAGAAAATTGTGCCGTAGAGCTTCTCATAGAAATACAAAAACGTATCGCCCACTTCCTACAATCCGGCCTGAACCTTTGGGTCAGCTCTGCAGGATCAACAACAATAACTGCACGGAGTACGGTAGAATTCCTCGGTACGATCATTCGGGAAGTCCCTAAATAGCTGAACCTTCATCCCCAACACAATCATTGTTACTGTTATTATTTTTGTTTTTTTGATCCTCAACACAATAAATTGACTTGACTATTTCTAAGACCTAGCCATCTTGGATTGATAAGTAAAATTTTACATTTACAGAAATTTTATACAGGGTTTTTCACCAGAATGATGTGCATTGACATTTTTTAAATTCTGTCATGTTGATGACTTTATGTTTTAAAGTAAGAAGACCAACATCAGCCATATGCTTTTATGTAGTTTTTTTTCGAAAAATATTACTCAATTAATGAACGTATGAAATAGCTTAGCTAGTAAAATCTTTCTTAGTAATTGTACAAAGGTAAATATATAGTTTGAATGGTAAAAATGCTTTGGTAATAAAATTCTCTGTGCTACTAGCCTGTACAAATAAAATAGAAAACAAAATCACTTGGAATTTATAGGATGATGGTTACTTTTCATGGAAAAACAATAGTAGTAGGATGGTTATGTTCTTATTCTTGAACAAAATTGACAAGTTTAAAAAGAAATCCTGTAGGATGTTGGTTAGTTAGGCAGGACTAATGGCAATGAATGCTGAACCATATCATACTGCTGCTGAAAATGGATAAATATGTCCAAAAAAAATTCATTGTTTGTTCATTAGCCTATCAAAAAGATTAATTTTTCTGTTAAAGAACTTTGATATCTGTAATCTACTTTAACTTTCCAAATCATTTTAATTGCATATGAATTTTTTATCAAAGTCCCATTGTCAATATGCGATTACCATTTTGAAAAACTACACCACAGGATACCATTTCAGAACTACCAACTGCCTTTTCTCGGCCTCCACCAAGATATTTTGTCTTTATTTGTTTTTCTGTCTCAATACATATTTATCTTATTAGATTATGTAAGAATCTCGAGAAACATAAAACCTCAAAAGCTGAGGTATGATTCTGTTAATGTACACCTAAACCTACTCCACTACACACTCCACTTCACCTACTCCACTACACCACTCCACCTCCACTTCACCTACTCCACTACACACTCCACTTCACCTACTCCACTACACCACTCCACCTCTACTTCACCTACTCCACTACACACTCCACTTCACCTACTCCACTACACCACTCCACCTCCACTTCACATCTCCTATATAATGTACATACAATACACAATCAAATCAATCAATAATATACATCAATTTATTTTAACATGGTATCAGAGCTATAAGATTTAGGCTTGTATTTTTTTCTCACCGGCGGGCAGCCGGCCGGCAACCTTGCCTTCGCTGCCCGTTGGAATTTTTTACACATACCTTCACTCCTCACGGATGGCAGCCACTCTCTCCTCCGTTCGATTCACTACCACCATCTTGGTGTATTCTTTTGCTACCAAGTGCTTGATCACAAGCCTCTCTCACCTTCGGCCACTTTTCCGACTGCAACTCCGGCACCTCCTACTTCAAATCCAGCACCACCGACAACTCCTGCTCCGACCACCAGCCCCACGGCGGCGCCACCTCCTGTGGTGTCCGCTCCACCGGCAACTCCACCACCATCTCCTCCGCCTCCCGCACCGTCGCCTACGCCAGCTGTTCCACCTGCTCTGGTTCCGGCGCCGGCTCCAAGCAAGAAGCCGACATCTCCGGCGCTGTCTCCGCTACTGAGTCCTCCGACGCCGCCTACTGGAGCTCCAGCGCCGTCTCTCCCGACTACATCGACCTCTGTTACTATGCTACTTGGATTCTTTGCTTATTTGGCAATTGCTGGATCCATTATACCCGGAAAGCTTGTTCCAGGCGTAATCTTATCTGACGGCACTCGTCTCCATTACCGCTGCAACGGTTTAGAGAGAGAGAGCGAGAACACACAGAATGGATCTGAACTCTACTCTCCTCGCCCTAATTCCTTCATCTCTCTCATCTTTCCACTTTCAAACCCACTACCTTTTTTTTTTTATTCAACCCATTGGATTTCTTTTATTTTATTTTAATATATTACCAACACACTTGCACTATACCAACCCATTTTAACATATTAACTTCCACTATCCTAGCCCACAGGTTCCGAAACCCCCCACTGGATTTATTTTATTTTCATCATCACTTTGCTGGACAATGTGCACATTCTCATTCTCATTATTTTTATTATTATCACATGGGCGTGTTCTCCCTCTTTCAAAAAAAAAAACAAACAAAATCAAACCAAACAATTTACAAATTTGCACAACACCCATATTTTATTCATCTCCGGGATCAACCCCGATCACAATTTTACACATACAAAAAAAAAAAAAAAAAAAAAAAAAAAAAAAAAAAAAAAAAAAAAAACAAACAAACAAACAAACATCACCCACAAACACCCACCCACAGGCAAGATTTTTTTTCCTTTTCCCTTCTCTACTCTGCCGCCGGTCTTTTCTTCTTCCCTCCGTCCTGGACGGCCCTTGCTGGTGCTGCCTCCGTGTTTCCCCCGCCGCCGAGCACGTTCACTCCCTCCTGCTCCTCCACTGCAGCATATGGCGGCCTTCCAAATCGGAACATCACGGTGGCCTTCCGCTTCAGCTCCTTGTTTTCCGCCTTTAACACACTTATCTCTGCTTGCGCATCCTTATACATGCGCTGGAGCAGAGCCAGCTGGGCGTTTAACTGCTGCACCTCATTTGTCCTACTCTGCAGCCGGTGCGACAAGTTTGTGACCGCCGTCATGGTCTCCACACATGACTTCAAAGTATACTGATTGGCCTCAATATCAGTTTGCACCGCCATTTTTTGCTCCACAGACCGCATCGGAAAGTTCAACGGAGCAAAACCAGTGGTGTTTGGTTGAGGTTCACGGGCCACCGCACCAGTTATCTCTCTTGTTGACTCGTTGAGGTCGGGAAAGAGAGTGAGCAGACCATGGGAAGAAGAGGAAGAAGAGGCCATTTTCTAGGCAACAGAGTGTTACAGAGTTTCTCTCTCAGAAACAGACGAGTTTTTCAAAGGATTTTCGCAGGTATTTTGTCTCAGCCTCTGCCTCGGCCTCAGCCTCCGTCTTGGTTAAATAACCGAGGCAGCCACGCGCATCGCACGCCGCTCGGCGCTCGACGACACATTGGCACGCCTTTTGATGGCACGCCTTTTGAAAGATTGGGCACACCTTTTGAGGACACGACTTTTGAGGGCTCGATATCTATATCCATGTATATCTTTTGGGCAGCCTATATACACACTCATACAGTGTCTTCTACATCGGTCAGCTTTATCAATCCCTTTGTTTCAACCTCAAATAGGTTTCTATCTTCACACCTATTTGAGTTTGAGGGGGGGTTATACACAGTATCATGTATAAGTCGCTCATGGCGCACTCCCTAAGTCGCCTCCTTGGTGCACCACCACAACCTCTTCTACAACGGTCCAACATGACCCCATAAACTGTCTTTTACAACGGTCTGACACGACCACACAGTGTCTGCTACAACGGTCCGACATGACCCCGTAAACTGTCTTCTACACCGGTCCGACATGACCCCATAAACTGTCTTCTACAACGCTCTGACACGACCATACAGTGTCTGCTACAACGGTCCGACATGACCCCGTAAACTGTTTGCTACACCGGTCCGACATGACCTCGTAAACTGTCCTGCTACAACGGTCCGACATGACCTCATAAACTGTCTCCTACACCGGTCTGACACGACCTCATAAAGTGTCTCCTACAACGGTCTGACACGACCATACCGTGTCTCCTATCCTGTTTTATTTTATTTATCAGTTTACTTTCCTGTTTTGTTATTCTCTTCAAACTCAAGTTGGTTAGTTCCTATCCTCCTTAAGTTTGAGGGGGGCTGTTAATGTACACCTAAACCTACTCCACTACACACTCCACTTCACCTACTCCACTACACCACTCCACCTCCACTTCGCATCTCCTATATAATGTACATACAATACACAATCAAATCAATCAATAATATGTGTACTAAAAAAGAGAATAATAAAATTTGAATAACACAGAATTCCGTGCATAATTTATCCAATAAAATTAAATTGGCAAGGATATATCATTTAAAGGTGCTGCACATGCCACAACTGCAGAGCAAGTAAAATGGGATTTTGGGGTGCTGCTGGGATGTGCTGTGAGCCTGTGAAGGCTTTTTCCAAATTTTTTTTTGATGCTATGAACCGTTCATATTGTAGGATTTGTTGCATAGATCATCCATGCAAAAAATTAAATTGATTGGAAATCTATAGCTTTATAATTTGTTTTCAAAAAAATAAACGGTTGACATTATTTTGAAAATTTTTGTAAAACAATTTGAAACTGATCATGGGGTTACGAATTTCTGATTAACTTAATTTTTTGTGTGGATGATCTATTCAACAAACCCTACAATATCAATGGTTCGAATCATTAAAAAAGACTCGGAAAAAGTCTCCACAAACTCACAGCAGATCGCTGCTGTGACTTAATCACAACAGCATCCTCATGTCCTACTTGGGGATTTCTGATTATAGGGTGGGTGGTCAATGGCCATTCTTCAGCAACAGTCTCACCAAACTCTTCCAATGTCATGTGACCACATGTTTGTCAAAACCCACTTCTCTCTCATTTGCTAAAACATTGACCCATCATTTTATATTCCATTAGCATATAATTTCAGTTATTTCAGTTATTAAGTTAGTTGCATATTACAAAATATCAAGATAGTACATTCATGTTTGATAATTGATATATCAGCAATGCTAGGTATCATGAAAAATCTTTCATGAAAATCATCATGAAAGATTGGTGACCTTTGGATTATACTTGCAATAAAGCACCTCACACTAATCAAAGTAATCTAAAGATCACAAATTTTTCATGATTATTTTCATAAAAAAATATTCATGATCCCTAACATTTCTCTTGATATATTTACGTTGGCACACATGGGTATAGAATCTAGATTGTACCATTAATGACATTTGAGGACTGAGTTTGAGCTATACTTTGTTTTTATTTATTTTAATTTTTTTATAATCAGTAGATGGAAAATAGAGAAAATGATAGCTATATCGTGTAACAATGAGACTCGAATCTGGATATAGGGGTGTAATTTAGGCGGCCAAACTGAATAACTTCTTCAAAACTTTAAGACTTATAATTTCAAATTTAACTCGGGTTTAAGTTAAAATTGTCAAATCCGAATTAAATTTGGACAGAGATCTCACAACCTAAGTAATTCAAATGCAATACATTGATTCAAGACAACTAATAGGTTAATTCAAGGTAAATTTCAAAATGCAATATATTTACGCTGACCTAATTATTTATTATATATATGTAAATATATCACATTGCCATGCACTTTCAAGTTTAAACAAAGTGAGATGTACTCAAAGTTGGTAAATTTGTACATGAATCAACACATGCTCTCTTCTCTCTCTGTCCCCTTCCTGTGGCCATGTCAGGTGCAATTCCCTACCATGGTATTTGGATGAATAATAGAAATGGTCTGCATTCATTCATTCAAACATTGGCCACCGCTTGAAGTACCACGTTAGTCAAATTGCGAGCCCCAATACTTGACAAAGACAAGTAATCTCATTTATTGTCGCAGTTGTGTACCTTGCCAAGTTCATCTCACTAACATGGTCATTGTACCACATCTTTCCTATATACCTAAGGCAAGAGGTAGGGGCATTATTTTAAAGTGGGGTATCGGGACATGTAATGGTAACGGTCATAGTGTAACCATATCGGGAGTAGCGAGGTATACATATCTGGAATCAAGTGATGCTGTCATGATTTTTTTAAAATAATCAACAAGATCTCTAAAACTCAATGAGCACATGTTTAGAGAATTTTGATCTTAACTAATCACACTAAAAACAATTTATGACATCTATAGAGATGTTTTGCTTATTGTATGAATAAAAAGGTTAATGTTAATAAAAGGAAAACTGGACCCTTTTGACATGTAATATATCAATTTTAAGGCATCAATTAGTTGTCACCAAAATTAATATTTAGAACTTCAGCATTTCAGTTTTTACACCCTAAGTAACATTTTATTATATAAAACCTTCAATGCATTGCAAAATTGATGTCATAACTTAAATCCCACATTGAATGACAATGAAACTTGAGGGCACCAACCATAGTATATAAGCCACACGGATAGTGCACTATGTATGTTGAAATCTTCAGCATACATTACAGTACTCTGGCTTCTTATGGCTTGTTGGTTAGAGATAGATGTGATGAAGATCATGAAAGAAGAAAAAGGACAAATCTGGAATTTCATATGAAACATGTTTAGGGCATCAAAGATTGAAGTTTTGGAATAATTTTGAGTCTTTATTTGTATTTATTCTAATTATAGTTGTTTTTAGCACTAAGGGTATTAAGGTAATTTCAATCATTGTTGGACCTGGGTTGTAGGGGTCAAACATGGATTTTATTGGGTCAAGTTATTACATGGGTCATTAAATATGGGTTTTATTATGTCTAGAATAATCTCGGTCCAAGTTTCCTATTTTGATGTTGGAGTAGAATTAGAGTCATCAAAGTTTCCTATTATGGTTAAAGTGGAATTGGAAGTCATAGTTGATCTAGGAATATTAGTAATTGTCAAATATTTTTGATTTCTAAATTTGAGTTCTAGTCCTTATTGTATTAGGAGCATCTTTAGCCTATAAATATGTGTAATTTCAATTATTCAATAGGAGGGCCTGGTGCTTGGACCCTTTGGCGTTGATGTGCAGCATTTGGAGGGAGTGCAATAGGCAAACTTGACAGAGTTGAGCCTACTATTTTTGTTTAGAAGAGTAGAATTTTGGCCTTTTTGTGTAGTTGGTTCTCGGGTGGAGTTGAGCCATCGTTGGATCATATTTTGGATCTTATAGAGCATTTAGATTAGTTTGATGAATAGGTGTTTTTTGTGTTTTTTCTTTGTATACAATCTGCAACCTCTTGGTGCCTTTTTTGGATTTTGAATATAAAACATACTTGTTAAAAAATATATATAGACAATAATTAGTTTACCTAATGGTGCATAATTGAATAAAGATTTTATGAATTTTAGTTTTGTGACTAATTCAAAAGGTCATGCACTCATTTTAGTACTTTCACTTGAGTAACAATTTGTTATAATTTATTTTTAATTATTGAATTCTTCTCTGTTTTTTTCTTTTTCTTTTTTTGGGTAAGAAATTCTTGTTGTGCATATCACGGTTTAACATACCTCAGGTCAAACTCACTGAACATATTGTTGAAATAATTAGGGATAAAATTTAGTAATACAGTTATTTCCTTTTTACACAGAGGAGGTCGGGGGGGTGGTTACAAAGAACTTGATGAAGAGGAAATAGAGGAAACTAGAAGACGCAGGCGGGAGGCTGAAGAAGTAAGATCAACTTGAACTAACAGTAAGGGACTTGTGTTATTTGTTCAATATTTAACCATATGTTTTATCCAAACCCAGGATGATGGTGAACTATATGATGAGTTTGGCAATCTCAAGAAGAAATTTCGTGCTAAAACACAACAAGCTGAACCTGGTCAGGCAGTTCCTGGTGCTGGGCGTGCAGGATGGGAGGTTGAGGAACTAGGTATCATCCTATGTTCTTATTATTCTGAATGATTGTTTATCCTTTCTTAGGGAGTTTGGAACTTCCCAAAGTTTGTTTTTGGAGTATATCTGTCATGACCTCATCCCACCCGAAGGTGAGATAGAGTAGTGACTGGCTAGTTGTCATAGACTACCAAAGGCCTAAGTAAACAAACACATATTACTCCTGAAAAAATTGGGGAAAAACTGCTTTGGATAGTGGAAGTCACTAAATTATAAAAACTGTTTATTTCACAACATCTATTCAGAGCAAGTGCAAAAGTAAATGAAATGAAATATACATTATTCTTTATTATACCTTTCCATAATCAAACACAAGGAGTACATATTTTACAAGAGAAGAAGAATGTGTTCCTTCCAAAACGGAGCGTGTACAAAGCTTAATACTTCAGGTCTTTTATCCAACAACTATGCATACAAACTTTCTTGTCTATTCACATATGTACTCAGTGTCAAACATGAAACCATCATGCTTCATCACCATCACCAACATATATAGGCAAAAGGGGTAAGCCAAGGCCCAATGAATAGTGATGCAACAAAGCTATTTAGAGACAAGGATATCTCCAATCTAATTGATTACAAACAGTCCAAAAGCTTGAAAGCTAAATTAGCATTTGAAACATGTCTAATACATTTTCACTGGAAACACAATGATAACACTCATTCAGAAGATACAAAACAAAACTTAACTAGGTTGATTCCAATGATGTCAAACCACATTCTAAAGTGACATATACAATATTGATACTATTAGTAGATTAACGTCCCCCAATAATTGCTGGGATGAAAGCTCATATAAAGGATTCAAGAGGTGACTCATGTAGATTCTAGAGGTGGCGCCCATTGTATTTTCACAAGGCAATCTAACACTTAGTTCTATACAGCACTTTGCTCCCGAAACGTTCATAACTAGAACCAAAACCACAGATGACATCTTTATACATCAAATATAATCACCATATGATATCTTTGAATAATCAAACATTTCATATATGAAGAATATAGTATTGATTTACATTCCAAAGAAGTCAAAACAGAAAATAAACTATGATATATCACTACTCACCTCTTTCCTTGCAAAAGATAGGTTAGTCCCACAAAGTAATTCAACCTACATAGGCATGAAAAACACAATACAATTGATGATTTTTACTCTAAATGCATCAAAATCAAACGTTTATAAATGTTGAAGATCTTTTCCTTCAAAACAAGTCATTTTGGAGAATCTACACTTTTCAGAAATCTTATTTTCTCACTTATTTTTAAATTTGATGCCGAAAATAGATTATGCAGATCATTAGGTGTTCAAAATAAGCTAAATTAGAAAAATGATGGAAGCTATCCACAACCGCTCAAGTGTGGGTGATGTCTGCTCAAGTGGCCTGCTCCCCTATATTCTGCACCGTTTTGAACTATTTTTGGACTGTTTTGCTGTCCCAATTCAAAACTAACATTTTGAAGTCCAAAACACAATTTAAAGCATTCTAAAACCATAAAAACAAAGAAAAGTTCTTCGTTTCTCATTTCTACATGTAAATTCTAAGCTTTTCCAAACCAAATACTTCAATTCTATGAAAACAAGTTTCAAAACTCAAGTTCTTTAATTCTTGCATCAAAAATCATTTTCCAACAAAAATCAACCAATTAAAAGTTCATAAAGAGGTATATTAAGAACATAAATTTTATGTCAATTTCAAGTTAGAACCAAGTCTAGGTCAAGAATGAAGCTTTCCCCTTTCCTTTTCTTTCTTTTCTTCTTTTTGTCTCTGCATAATTTCTCTTTCTATTTTCTTTTGTTTTTATTTTATAAGAGGGACACTTGTCTCTCTTTTATGTATACTTGTCCTCCAAGTGTGAGGTGGCACACTCCTAAGTGAGGTGTGTGGGGGTTGTCTCTACTAATGACACTATCATCCTAATGTCATTTTTTGCTACTGTTAGTTTTGTGATGTGGTTACTCAATTTATTGAACACTTTACTTGAGGGTTCGGTTCGCTTTGTTGATGTGATATTGTGAAGTGACAACAGGGGTGAGTGACAGAGAAAGAAGCAGAGACAGGGGAAGGGAGAGAGATGAGAGGGGAAGCAGCAAGAATCGAGATCGAGATGACAGGGATAGGCGCCGGAGCAAAAGTCGAGAGAGAGACAGGGGAAAAGATCGAGAACGAGACTACGATTATGGTCGAGACAGAGAATATGGGCGGGATAGAGACCGTGATCGGGACAGGAACAGGTATCGTCATTGACGATGGTACCGAAGTGTCTGAGTAGTGTTTCAGTTTTCAAACAATTCAAGTTTCCCAGATGTTTTTGGGTGGTGTGTGTCTCGGGGGAGGGATGGCGCTTGATTTGAACCGCAGTCTGCGGTTGTCTTTAGTTTGGTTTCTCAGACTCTTCTTTCTGTATTTCATTTTTCTGGATAGTTTGATTGGTTTTGTCATTCAAGGTTTCTTGTTATCCGTAATGCTATATTGTTGTTGCAGGCTTGGGATGGAGAAGAGTAATTTTGTTTTTTGTTTTTTGTTTTTTTAAGGGAACAAATTTGGTGGTCTATCTGTGTACAAATTGAATTGATTCGACATGCCTCCATTATTTATTTCGGTGCATTTTGCTATTTGGATTTCCTTGAGTAGCTAGCTAGCTAAGATCTTGTTTGATTCATGTATTTAGGTATGGATTTATTAAAAAAAAAATGGAAAAGAAATATGAAGTGTAGATGAATTACATTTTTCTGTTTCCTTTTCAAATTTATATACAAATTCATAAGTAAACACTGTAAGTCGGAGTTTTGCGAGGAAAAGGGTGCATCCTAGGGTTCTTAGCAAATTAGCAATAAATTTGTTAGTTCTACCTTGAAGGTAGGTAGGTAGGTAGTTTATAAATCTTACAAAATTTGTGAAGCATTGTTAAGGATTTTTGCATAGGGTTGATTTGTTGTTACACTTTAATATCCACACTCGTCATAAGTAAATAGAAAAGTATCAAGACAAACTGATGTGTATTTTGAAATCCAAAACAAGTGTAAATATTTACCCAAGCTCCTACATTTTCGTTTTACATGACATAAATTTTTTAGATAGTGTGAATATTTTTTAAAGAGTGAAGATTCAAACTAACTTTTGAACTTTTCAAAAATTTGTGCTAATATTTTATTAATTGAAAGTATGAATATTCATATATATATATAATTTACATACTTACTAGTAAATTTTCACTAATATATCTATATATATAGGGTGATTCTATGTACACAATTATTTTATCATTTTACACCCTTCATATGAGTTTTTTTTTTTTTTTTTTTTTCTCAATTTTATCCATGTGTGAAATTGCCTTTGAAGACAAAACATTAAAATTAAATATATTTTGTTATCTTCTCACACCCCTCGGTCTTTAATCCCTACTTCTCTTTTTCCTTTCTTAATTTTTATTTTCTCTTACACATCTCTTTTCAAAAAGTAAGAATCATGATAGTTTGATCATTAAAGAAAACAACGGATGGAGAACGGTGGTGAAGAAACATCAAAAAAGTGAAATGGTGAGTTTTTTTTTTTTTTTTTTTGTAGGTTTTTGTTTCGTTTTTCTAGACTGATGTTCGATTTTTGTTCGGTGGTTCGAAATCAAACAAAATAAAATAGTCCGGTATTACATTGCCGAACAAAAAATATAAGTCTGATAATCAACTACCGAATAAAAGATACATTTCCGGTAACCCCAAATCAAATTTTTTTAATTTGTTCAGCTTCTCATTACCATGTATTTTCAGTTTCATTTTTTTATATTTTTTATTATACTTATACTCATTGCAACAACGCAAGTACTGCAATATTAGTGGACTTTAGTCATGAATTCATTACAGACGAGGTTTGTTAAATTTTTTTATAAATACGATTTTTTCTTATTTTTAATTTGATTCAGTTTTATTAATAATTTGACATATAAATGTATTTATTATCTTTAGATTTTTCGTAGTCGTGAAGCATTAATTAAATGGACTTCTGACGTTAGAAAGAAGACTAGATTTGTCATTTTTATAAAGACATCAGATGCGGGAGGCAATGACAGAAAACCAAGACTTACACTTGCTTGTAAAAGAGACGGTTACTACAGAGACAACATGAAGATCAAGAAGGAATGATTGAGGTTCACATGTTCTAAAAAGTGTGGATGTCTATTTCTATTAAAGGGGGAAAAACTACCTACAAATTACCAAGAAGAATTGTGATAACATGTTTGATTGATGGATACAAAGAATAACAGATTTTATGGATACTTTATGGGTATTCGTACACTTGATGTTTTTATGAATAATTTTATGGATACTTTTTATGTATGATTTTATGGATACGTGTTTGATTTATGAATTTTTTTATGGATGTTTTAAGGAAAGAGTAAATATTTCAATGTACAGCGACGGGGGCCTAGACAACTCTATTGTAGTTTGGCAACATGACACTGTTGGAAAAATATGGTTTTATAGACTTATTTTGGGCTAACTTTGAGCCTAAATTTGGATGGGGCCCACACGTCTTTTGGGGTGGGTCCGAAGAGGTAACGTGTTCCTTGCCGCATGGCAAGTCACACGGTGAAAACGGTTCCTCAAAACCATTTATGAGTGAATGGGAAGTTGACGTCGTTTTCGAGTTCGTGGAATGGACAAATTAAAGAATAAAATATGGGTTTCCTTACAAGGTTTGTCCCACATTGAAACTTTTAGAGAACTTGTGTATGTATATAAGCTCTAGGTGGCAACACTTGGGTTGGGCCCTAAGAGGCACCCCAAGTTTGTAGAAGGAAGGAGTTACAGACAAAGTGAATCTTGGCTTAAACCACCACACAAGCACGCACGTGCCATGCGACGTCCGGTTGAGCCGTGCAGTGTGGGGTTTGGGTCGGTTCTAATGTTAGTTTTTTGGACAAAATTCATTTGAATTTTTTCAAAAATTCTTATCGGAAATTAATTCAAAATTTGAATTCAAATTTTTTATCCATAATTGTGTCTCTTCCAGTCTAAAATTCCCAACAGATAAACTTTTTAGTAGATATTATTATTTTGGTAAAATATTGACTTTTTTTTTTTAGTATGTTTATATATATTGTATATATAAATGTATAATCAAAGTTTTAATTATAACGTTAGTCTCATATGTAAGCATGAATTTATAAATTTTTTGGCTCGTTAAGGTTCGTGAACAGACTCGAACTCAAGTCAAGCCTACGCTAACTCGGCTCGAGTTAAATTTTTATTGAGCTCGAGCTCGAACTCGAGCTCAAGTTCGTTAAAATCTTAATAAACAAACCCAAACATACTAAAGCTCGGCTTAGCTCAGCTCATTTGCAGCCCTAATTGTGGATGTGTATACATTGTTGGATATTGTTGGAAATTTCTCTTTCAAATGTGATTTTGAAAAGTAAAGAAGGTTTTGTCGAAAAATCATTGATGTGGTTTATAAAGGAAAAGGAAATAGTGTTGAATTTTGAAAGGATATGAGAAAAGGGTATCTGTTGATGATGAGAGTGGAGTTGAATATTTATTATCACCCACATTTTGAAATTTGAAGATTTTATCTATTGTTGGAAAAATTATATGCTAAGTAGAAATATCTATTCTGGACTATCAGTGGAAAATAGCTTTGATTGTTATAGAAATTGTATGAGGATTAGGTTAAATTGAAACTAATTTCTCATACATCTTGCATCGAGCTTTGCTTCATAGTTGAATATTGAAAATGTACTATTTTTTTTAGAAAAATGGGTGTATACCTTGGTAAATCTTGTTAGGAAGTGTGGTTGTGGTTTAATCTTACTTAGTTTTTAAGAAAGAGAATTTACTGACTAATTATAGCTCAATGATCTTATTTTAAGTACCGCACTTAAGGTTTTTTAGATCACCTAAGTATTCAATTCTCAAGTCCAAAAAAATGACTTTGAATTCCTTTTATTTTCTTACTATTTCTCTGTCCGATTCCCTGTCCCCATTTTTTGTCCTATTTATTTTATTTTATTTTGTATTTCAAACACTCTTCTCATCACATGATATGTCAAAGTAATTAATTTTTTTAACAACATTGATAGAGACCCCCTTCAATCACCACCTCCATCACCCCACACACACGTGGCGGGTGGTGATTGGAGGAGAAGAAAAAACAAAAAACTGGCCAATGAGAGGGAAAGGGGGTTTGAAACATTTTTCTTTTTTTAATGCCCTTGATATTAAGATTTTATAAGACAAATGACAAATAATATTTTTATAGTAGTTAAGATCCTTTAATATTTCTATAGAAAAAATTCGATTCAAAGAAATTTTTCCTGACCTAGAAAAATTTCGCCCTGACCAGAGAAATTACAAAATTTCTTTGTGATCATATCAGATAAATTTCAAAATTTCTCTGAGTCGGGTGAAATTTCTCTGAGTTGGACAAAATTTTTATATGACAAATTTTCTCTGTAAAAATGTTAAGGGACCTTAGCTAATAAAAAAAAATCTTGAATCTCACTTATTATACAAAGTTAGAGAGATATTTTACTAATCTTTCCTAACTTATATTAAGGAAAAAATCTATTTTTTTACTACTAGGCACAGAGGGTGAGTCACCCATGTATTTGTTATTGTAGGCCCATTACTATTTTATCTAATGGTAAAGAAAAATTTAATGAATTTTTTTTTATGTATAACATTACAAGAATATAAAATTACATTTTGCAGTAATAATTCTCCATCATGATTTTTGTATTATAGATGGTGGGGAGAAAGCATATAGCATCAATAATTGCCCCGTGGAGGGAGTTGGAAGTTCATGATTATGGAATGTAATATTTATATTGCACCAATATAGCAACATACAATATAAGTAATCTTTCGGTGTGCAATGCAATTTTATAATAAAATTATATAAGTAATTTCACAAAAATTAATAATTTTGTAATAGAATATACAGTGCGCATAACATAACAGAGAATTTTTCATATTTTATTTATTATTCTCTTTAATATTTCAATAGAATTGATTAATTTTATGGTAATTTTCACTTTGGTAAGTAATAATTTTGGGTCCGTTTGGGAAGATCACTTAGGTTAAAATAGTCATATAAGACAAAATAGATTATTTTAGTCAAATAAGATAAAATGTCACAGCTTATAATCATTTCATTTTTTCTCTTCACAAAAGTCAAAAAAATTAAAAAATTTATCCCAAACGAGATTTTTTAACTTCAGTCTAAAATAGTTAAAAAGTCAAAAAATCAAAAAAGTCAATCCACATCCCAAATGAAGGCTTTAAGGGTTCGTCTGGGATGTGAGTTGGCTTTTTAGCTATTTTAGTCTAGGGTTAAAAAGTTTCGTTTGCGATAGATTTTTTTATTTTTATGAAAAAAAAATGAAATGATTATGATTTGAATGTGATGTATTATTTTATTGAATTAAAAAAATTATTTTACCTTTTTATAATTAAAAAATCAAAAAACCTGACCCACCATACGAAAGCTAAGTGAAAAAGTGGATTGGAATGGGAGTTGTTGAAGTTATTGTTCACGTGACACTAATTTTAAATTTATGGCACACATTTTAAATTTTGATTTTTTTTTTGGACTCACTAACTATTTCTGGACATAATTG